TTGTGGGAGTGACACATTATCAAAATTGGTTTCCAACGTTTCTACTTTAATATATAGAAGATTAAATGACAAAAATCTATCATAATATCTCACTTTTTTTAATTCTCATTTTTGTTTTTAGTTTCCTTTATAATAAAAAACAATCATAAAGAATGGTATTATTATTCAAAGATGTATATATGTATGTATACATTGAGGAGATTTGTCATTGACTAAATTTTAGTTACATTTTATGACCATTCATCAAATTTTCCTAAAAACAAAGGATAAAGATTGACCACATCCATCTGTATTATTTACTTTATGTATAGAGAGATAAAATCTAGAATTCAAATGCTGAATTAAATTCTAATGTACTGCCAATATTGAAGTTGAGGAGATGGCGTAACGGGTGTATCTAATAAGCGTGCAAAGTATTATATAAAGGCATACCCACACACAATAGACGAATATAATAAAATCTAAATTTTAACGAGGGGTCATGGCTTCTTCTTCTTCCTCTTACGGTTTTATCCTAGTTTCTATGGCACTTTGTGTTTCATTTTCTTTTAGTCTCTGCCTCCACACAATACATCGACGCCATTTGCCAACAACAACCAGTTATAGACAAAGCCTTCTGCGTCCAAACTTTGAAATATTTCCTTTGGCTGCTTCTGCCACCACCACGGTATATCTAACGGTTTTAGTTTCTCGATGAATCATCATCTATTAAAGTTTCCAAGTTATGATTTTCATCTGAATATATGGTCTTACGTAAAAGTGTATTGAATTATTATCAAACCAAGATCACTATTTTGTAATTACGATTATTGAAGTGTCTCATTCTCAATCATATATTATTATTATTTGAATTTGTAGTTTAAAGCGGCCCAAGCTGTGCTTCGCCTCGACATATCTTATGCTGCTAAATCTGCGGCTGCCAGTGCAAAAGCGGCATCAGAAAGTCCAAACATGAAGAAGCAGTTCGAGAGGTGTCAAGGTGAATTTACGACCATTATAGGCAATCTCAAGAGGGCCGGTTTTGAACTCAAGGAAGATCCAATCACTGCAAACTATAGTATCAAGATCTGTATCGATAGCACCAATACAGTGAGGAATTTGGTCGGGAAATATAGCGACAAAGATTCAAAGAATGTGATTATCATGACATCGATGATGGAGAAGTTTCTTGATATCGCCGAGGGAGCCACCGTAGCTCTTGGTGGGTAAAGAAGACGACGATACCATCATCAGATTTGCTATTTTTGGTTTATTCTGGTCAATTGTTATGGTGATTTAATTCTAGCCGATGTACTATTTGGTTTCTTAAGAGAGTGAATACATTTTTTTCTGATAGATATGCATGTGTTATTGTGTAAACACTCGTTCCCATTTACTTTGAACTCTAGTTTTCACACCCTAATTTAAAAGACAAGTAGCACATTTCAAACATTAAAGAAAGAAAAAGAGAATAATAAATTATTTAATAAAGAGAGCTTGCCCATGCTCAATAATCATATTATAATAATAATTCATACAATTATACACATATACTGGAATAAGACATAACACAAACAACATACAATGTGACATGTCTAAACACAATTAATATAACTTTTGTAGTCCTATCATAGCATCTCAACCTTTCCTTCACAATCTCAATAAACTTATGATCCCATCTTTCACACATTGGAGCTTTCACATCATCACAATAATGCGCACAAAACTATGTAGCTAGTTGTCATACCCGATATGTATGTTATTCGGGATCATATATTAGTCTCAGATCATATGAAACGCCTTCTCGATGCCAGAATTTAGTCTGGATTGATCTGAAATTAGATAGTTTTGCAACATCCTATCGTAATATCGATTCTAATTAGATCTGAACCGTTCTCGGTTGATTTTTGGTTTAATGTAAATCATTGATGAGTCAAAAATATGGACCAAGTTAGGTTTGGGTTTAACTCATTATGTTTACGCTAAAATCTTTCAAGAAACACCAATATGTTGTTATCGGACCATTATAACGATTGCATGATTTTAAATTTGTTTGGGCTCATCTTTATTGGGTCTTTACTCATTATGTTGTTATGGGCTTTTGAAGGGATGGTAAAATCGTACCAGAATGCCATGGACAATCTACTATATGAAAGTGGAATAGCTTTCTCCAGCCTTTTGCCATGTTATCTCTTCTTATAGTGCCACGTGTTCGACCTCAGTTTTGATAATAATAAAAAAAGCAAATAATATTTTAATATTTCTCAACCTTGACGTTTCTCCTTTGACGTTAGGGTTCCAAAATTAATGGCCTTAATGGAGCTTCACCTCTTCTGATTCTCGCCCATTCAACTCCCATAAAGCCCTAAGTTTGGTGTCAAATCAATATGAGACTATGTACATTTCTCATCTTTCCCCCATCAATGGTAACGATGAAGATGATGTGGCGCCCGTCAATCGATTCTCTGAAGAACGCAAATACGTCTCGCATGCTCAGTTGCTCACCACAAAGCCCTGACAAAACCATTCTTCAGCGCATCATCTTCCTCTTTCCTTTGTTTTTTCGCTTTCCAAGGACAAAAATTACACCCGACGATGGGGCTAGGAGTTATTACTTCACGCATCCGAGCCAGTCGAGTTATGGGGGGAAAGAAAATTTAGTTCATACAACCTTGAATTATTGCTCTAGGATTTCTCTCGAAAAGGGATGGTATGAGTTTCCTTCCCGTATATCATCTGATATGTTAGATGCTCTTCTTGCAAATCCTGACATTTTTCCCTTGCATTTGATTTTTTTTTTCCAAAGGCATTAAGATGTTCATGCTCATCAAATCATGGAAAGGATGCATTTTGATTGATTTCTTAGCTTTTGTAGTCAACAATTTCTTGATTTCCTTGGTAAAATAGCTTTGATCTTTCGTCCATTAATGACTTATGACTCCTATAACAGTTGGTTTGTCTTCCCAAGTTCTTCAATATTATCAGCTATAAATCGATTAAGAATTATTGAAAATCTCTTAACTATAATAACATAGTAGTTACTCTGCTCATTACATAGATTTAAAACTTGTCAATGTATTAATCCATTTGTGATATTGGTGTACTTTCTTTCTTGGATTATAAAATGGATTATGATGTGGAAAGTGATGGCATAGTGTCACCAAATACAGAATCGAAGACTGGCCGAACCAAACCTATATATTACTTGCAACCCTGCCTTCTTAATGTCACAAGCAGAGACAACATACTTCACTACGAGAAATAAACTCTTCACTACGAGAAATAAACTCGCAGAGATTAGCTATATTGGCACTAAATCCGAATAGAATTATGTCTCTTTCAAGATAACATCTAAAAATGTTTTAATTTGTTCTTATAGCAATGAATATTGGGTTTTTGGTATGCAGGCAAGCGAATCAAAGAACCTCAAGTACAAAGAGGTATGCATACAAATGTATTAAGATTACTACATAGATAGAGAAATTTGATTTGCTTATTAATCATTGGTTAAAAGTTTTTTTTTTTTTTTTGCATACATTGTAGGTTATGGTTGTTGAAATTGCTATCAAATAAAGATGATTGTCCCTGGAAAAAGGCGGTGTATCAAAAACATATTGAACTGTTTTCAGAGAGAAAGAGGAACCATTTCATCGTGGATGATTTTTCCACTCCCGTTTAACTCATATTATATCGCAAGCCTCATCTATATCTTATGTTATAGGCATAACCTTATAGGTTTGATGGTTTGATCTTTCTGACAATTCTAAGTTGTGGTTTTTGCTTGACTTCCCTCCTTTTGAATATCCAGAAACTAAACAAATATGGGAATGTCAGGTTAGTGCACCAAAATTTGACACATGAACCAATAAGATTTAGTTCTCATCTTTGTCGGGTCATATTCCAAGTACTAAGATCAAAGCAAAAAAATGACTGAGTATGGAAAGTGCATGACGAGATGAATAGTCCGACAAAGACAAACTGGGTGACGAGGAGACCTGTATGGCATGATATACTGGGTGACGAGTTGCCTAGTATGGCACGACAGACTGGTTGACAAGACGACCTGTCTAGCAAGACAGACCGGGTGACGAGCTACCTAGTCTGGCAGGACACACTAGTTGACGAGGTGACCTTTCTGGGAGGAAAGACTGAGTGACGAGCTGACTGGGTGACGAGATGACATGTCTGGCTGGATGACGAGGTGACTGGTCTGGCAAGACAGACTACGTGACAAGGTGACTAGTCCAGCAACACAGACTAGGCGACGAGGTGACCTGTCTGGCAAGACGGACTGCATGATGGTGCTGTCGAAATGGCAAGACTAGAGCGGCGAGCCTGGCGAGTCCAAAAACACTACTTAGCAGCAAAAACAAATTCGTAATGGAGAAGTGGGCTCGCAGAAACAAGAAGCCCATAAGACAAGCCTGTTACAAGGTGAGGCCCAAAACGTGACAAGGTGGGCCAAGTCCAAGATATGACGAGATGGGCCGAGTTGGGCGACACAACCCATTATGTGTGGCCGACTTCAGAGAAAAAAAACTACTGAAGAATAGGAAAATTTCATGTTTTCTCTAGGGTTGACCTAGCCGACTTAGTGTGCTATAAAATACTAATGTATCTCTTTTGAAAAAGGGATCCGAAATTTTATTCTCAGAAAACTCTTGTACTTTTACTGCTTAGCAAAAACAGCAATAAAAATTATCTTCAACCTTTCGTTTTGTGATTTCATACCCAGAACACTCAGTCCTCTTTTCAACCCTTACCAAATTTAACTGTGCAGGATCTGCAGTCCACAATCCTTACCTTCCATTATGCCAAGGAAAATCATATTTTTTCTAGGCAAATGCTAGTCAATAGCCGCTTTCCCAATGTTCATCTATCTCACGCCGTCAAAGTCCTCCACAAAAAATATATATGATTATACGTACCAAAAAATTAGCATCAATAGAAAAGGCAAAACAAATAAGATTAAGAAAACATATGAATTTTCAAAACTAATTCTTTAACAGATGTTTCTATATGATAAATAGATAAAAACACTTTTAAAATAGAAAAAGATGGAAACACGTTAACAGAAAATATTGCAAGAAAGTACAAATTCTATAATAATTTATTAACGTAGAAAAAAATTATTAATAAATAACACTTTTTAAAAAACGTCTTGATTATGAATTATTACAAATTATGAGAATAACAAAAAACACTTTTAAATAAAAAAATAATTATATCTATATCAAATTATGTACACATACAATTTAGTAAAATATTTTATGATTAAAATACGCGGGTAAATCACCTAGTGTTAATGAAAATAGAGAGAAAGAGAGACATATACACGTGCATACACAA